GGTTCACCAAGGACAGAAATATCAGGTCTTAAGCATCGAAATCTTTGATCCAATGTGCTGTGGATGATGTGTACACAGAGCTCAGACCACAAAGCCCACCACAAACCTCTGTCCAGGAACCAGTAAAGCTGCCCACAGAGTCACTCCAGCGAGTGGAAATCAAAGGAAGATAGGAAACTACTGACCCAGGTGAAAGTTGAGTGATGCAGGCTGAACTAGGTTGATGTTTGCTGATGCCATCCAGGCAATCTAAGCCACAGATAATCACAGGGCAGCTCCCCAAAAGCAGCATTTGTGGCCTGAGGTGACTGAGGATGTATAAACACTGCCTGCAAGGCAACAGTTCACTTCCTTCCTTTTACTTGGTGGGAAGGAGGAGAGAAAAAGAAAAAGCAGAAGTAATAAAAGAAGTGGGTCATTTTGGAATGACTACTTCAAACCAGTCCAATACAATGCCATAACACATAGGAAACACAAGGTCAACAGCTCTGACTCACTAGTTTTAGCAAATCACTAGACATTCTGGCTACACCAAAAGCAGACACCTAGAAATACCTCTTCTCAACAAAGAGAAATGTGTTTGAAAAGGCAAGTAAAAAATGGTAAATAGCATGACCTTTAGGAAAATAGTCACGTGAATACATGAATTAATGTTAGGCAATGTCAAATTAGAAACTGAAGTAAACTCATCCCTGGATTTGGATGCTGATGGATACAGGACTGTATCTCTTCTGTGTTCCTCTCAGAAGCCTAAACTTTTAGACCAAACAATTATGCTGGTTGTATTTAATGAGAATTAAATGTTAATCTTGACATCTGTAAGACAAAATCTAACCTCAAAGATAAAATTATTTCCCATTCCTTTAGCATTTGATCTATTTTGGTTTGCAACTTCTTGTAATTCAGTAGCACATTCATTGCAGCAAATAGATCTATGTTAACCACTAAAGTGTGCATGATGTTACCCAGTTCTGAACTTCTGGTGACTCCAGCTCATGGGCTGATCCACAATTATCAGTTATTTTTGGAGCAGTGAGGCTGTACACAGCCATGCAAATTACAAGACACAGTTGTGTATGCTGTCTTCTAAGAATATGTCTTGCAAGTATTTTTTTACCCACATTCTTAAATGCTTGGGGTTTCATATACAAAAAAATCCACCAAATCCACCCAACATAAAATGTAAGCTTATGTCACATTCTTGCAGGACTCTTCATCTGTATTCAGTTACACCTAGATTCTCTCCTTTGCTACTTGTTGTGTGTTTGAATCCTCTTTCTCCTTCTGTTTATAATTACGTGGCTTTTTTATAAACTCATTCAATAAATGCTCCATTTTGGCCCTCAAAATTTGCCACTGGCACCTCTGAAGCTTATTAGTAAACCTCCACCTGAAAATTAAAGGAAAAAGAAAGATAATGTCTCACATGCTGCACATTGCCTGCCATGTATATGGAGACCCCAGACTGGAAAACCACTTACTCAGTGTAAATCCAGTTTGGTTATATTGACTTGTCTTTCCCTCATGGTACATTAGTGCTCATGATAAATCTTGCAGTGAAAGCCTTAGAGAAGAAAGCTTTTGTCCACAGCAAATGCACTTCCCACATTCCGCTCCTTTACAACAGGCAAAAGAGCAAACCTGTTGTTCCTACTTTTACAATAATCACAAGGCCAGACACCCAACTCAGACATAAATACCTCATGGGCTTTGTCATGGACACTTTCTCGAGCCCTAATTCAAGTGCTATCTCCACCTGTTTGTCCTCTCTTACTCCATCAAACATATGAACAATTATGATGAGTCCTCTGAAAATCTGACTGCAATTCTAACATTCAGCTCCTAAAAGCCACCAGACCACCCTTTCATTCACCTTCAGATCACTGCTACATGTGAACTTCCTTAAGCCAAATCTTCCTGGTTTTTTCTATTTGGTTTGCTGTTGTTTTGGTTTGAGGGTTTTTTTGGTTGGTTGGTTGGTTTGGTTTTTTTTGCTTTTCCTTATCCTCTCTTCCTTCTTCCTTTCTCTTTCCTTTACAGAACCATTCAGCAGGTCAAAAAGAGATTCAAGAGACAAATGATGGCATCTGCAAACAACTCAAACAACTCCATAGAAGGAAACAAAACAGGCCAGGATCAGAGAGGCTGTTATATGTCAACACAATAAATATTCACAGTCAAATTCTCAGCTGGTGTAAATCAACCTGTCTCCATCTGGTATTATAAGCCAGTGCAACTTGATGTTAAACACACAGTAGAAAAATTTTATTCATGTTAAACTACAGCATTTTAAATCTCAGGGAGTATTGACCCTATCTGACACCTATTTCAATCGATGGCCAAACTCTCATCTCCCTGGACAGGGAACAGCCCAGAGCACACTGTGTGCTGGGCGGTACGAGCCCTTAATATCATCTCACATTTAAAGCTTCCTACCCTTAAAAAATCACAGCTACACCTAGCTTGTAGTAATACAAAACCATATCTGCAGGGCATCTTCAAATGCCCTGCCCAAAATTCAAACACCTATGTCTGGTATTTGAATTTCACATATTACTTTGCACTATAAAGAGAACTACAAATATCTGCTCGATCAGCTCCGCTGTTGTTCTGAGAGAGCAAAACTGAGTGCCAGGGAGTTTCTGTGATGGCACACACAGCCATTAGGACCCAGCAGAGAAACACAGATTCACAACACCAGGAGTCCAACAGGTTCTGATAGTCAAAGGTTAAATATCTAACTGGTGTTTTCACTGTCTAGATCACCAAGAGAGATATTTTGGCCAAAAACGTCTTCATAGAATCAAAGAATGATTTGGGTTGGAAGGGACCTTAGAGATCATCTAGTTCCAAATGCCATGAGCAAGGACACCCTCCACTAGACCAGGTTGCTCAAAGTCCTGCCATCTTGCATATTTATTATATATTGAGTTGACTTTACAAATGGCTGATTGTGACTGTTTCAGCAAGGAAAGATTAGAGATTTGATTTCCATCCCCCCATCCTTACAAGTCCTGGTGAATTCTTGAGGAACAAGCACCCTACTGGCAGAATACAGACCAGTCTCTAATCTGCCACCCTAAAAAAGGTGAGACAGATATCTCTTTGGGCAAAATGGAAAAAGAAAGATGAACCACGTATTTGGTGAAATATTCTAGGGGTCATCTCCAGTCTGTTGTCTTGTCTGGCAGCCTCTACTCACTGCATTTTCTTGTCACTGTTTTCCTAGCTTGCATGCACTCATTCATCTGCCACTGCCAGTCTCTTTAGTACTGAGTGCTGAGCGCAGCATGCAAAGCCCCTTCCAAAAAAACCAAACACCAATTAAGAACAGAGAAAGAAACAAAAATTAAAAGCTTGATAAAAACAGATGTCAGCAGACGATGGAAACACTTCTGCATAAAAAAAATCATCTCCTTAGTTCAACATCAGCTACAAGAACTGCTGTGCTCCCTTGAACATCGACTTTCTGGTTGGCTCGCAGGCAAGCCTGGAAAGGGATGTTAATGGTTTGCTTGGTCAGTGCACATAGAAAGGAAGGAGAACCAGTGAAGGAGCTGCCAGCTGTGTTCCCTGCTTCAGGAAGCTCAAGAAATCTTTTCAGTTGTCCAAGCTTGCAAGGGCTCTGGGATTACGGCCCTTCAGTGGATGGGGATGTTTCTTTCTTATGGTTTGGCCTTTAATGATGTTAAAGGGCAAGGAGGTTTTGACTGACACACAGCAGACCCCAGAGAGACTAATTACTCAGACAGTCTCTTTTCCCCTTCCCACTCTTCTTGAGCATCTGCAAAGACTCTTTAAATTTGACCAGCAAATGCTAATAATTTTCCTTTGTAGCACTGGATTGTTCCTCTTCAGGGCTTTTACATGCACTTTCCATTTACGCAATGCTAACTCCCATAATGGTCAATAAAGGCCAGTATATTAGTATGACAAACTTATGTTCTCAGTCATGCACAGAATTTGAATTGAATTAGAAAGTCAGCCTGTGTTCATAAAAACAACACTAATGAGCAAATGGAGCTTTACTGTGCTACATAACAGATATCACATATCTTTGGATTGCTGTCAATTCTTTATGTAAATACTCTAAATCCCTTAGACTTCATTTTTCACACTATATAGTGAGTCTCTTCATAATCAAATAGTATTTAAAACATTTACTGCCCTGTTAAATCTAACAAGTTAGATTTACTAGGATAGTCACTTGCCTTAATAGCCAATTTAGTAAAACTCAATGTATTCATTGATGAATAAATATATAATGGGCGGTTGTTAAACTTTAATAAATATGTTTAATAGTCAGCTGGCATTTTCTCTCAATGGCAGCACTTCCTCTTGGCTGCCAACAGGAAATGCTGCTCCTGAATATGCCAATTCAGCCCACATGTAGGGAATAAATTGATCTAGAGGAGCAAATAGGAGCATGAATTTCAGGTAGCTTTCCTATGCTGCTTGTCACAAGATGAGCAATAACTGAGGTTATTCTAAGCTCCCATCAAGACAGTCAGGTGTTGAATAGCACAGTGTAAGGAAGAGCATGAGCTACAGTGTTTGTCTAGACTCCATACAAACAATGAACTAGAACAGGAAAGGTAGTTGGCTACCTGAAAGTCATTTAAATGATATTCACATATTATTATGCAATCTATAGTCTCACCACACTCCTTGTTTCATGTAGATCATGACACATTCACTCCACTCTGCCACTCTGTGTTAATATGACACCTCAGCTTCTAGCTAGATCTTTTAAGGCTTTTGGGTACCTGAGAAAAAATTTTGGAGGAATCCACATCATTAGACAACTAAAAACTTTTTAAAATCAGACCCTTAGCTCAAATTGTATAACTTTATGGTTCATCTCTGCAGTTCCCAGGATCAGCTCTCCATACTGAAAGCAGCTATTGCATATAAATGAGAAAGCAGACCAAAATATCTTCAGAAGAGAATGTATTCGTATGCTGGGCTGAGAAGCTTGATCATAGCCATGAGACACTCACCTGGGTTGGATTATATAGTTCCTGGAGTGGGCTTCTGGATCCTTTCCGACAGCAAATGTCCATCCCAAATGGATTTCTTCGCATTACTGCAAGGGGAAATTGAAATTAATACAGGTTAGCAACACTGGTTAGCAGCAATCAATTGCAATACCTACAGCAAGAAAAGATTTTCTGACAGATCATGGGATTCCAGACAGTGTTGTCCCTTAACTCCTAATTTTACTTTCCCTAGAAATTGTCCAAGAGCTAAATCCTTTATCTATTGTGTAAGTTAGTAAATATAAAAGCTCTCTTATAAAAGCTGTTATGCAACAACTCCCAGCTTAGGTCCACAAAAATTCAAGCATAGGGACCAAAACAACACAGCTTTCAGCAGTGCTAGGTACCTGCTTCTCTGACCATCAAGGAGGAGTCAGATGGATTCCTATAATCAGCATCTCTGAGAGGCACCGTTTGAGCCTCTCTCAGCCTCAATACAGGAATCTAATAATAAGACATTGATTTTAAAGCTTCTGGCCTAATTCTTCAGTTTCTCCTAGAACAGATACTCATCAGTACAAAACAAACATACAGTCAATCATTGCTGCACTCCTTGCCCCAAACTATTTTACTCAATAAATTTCAACTGGAAATTTGACTGATCTGCGAGCCAAGATACACTCTGTTATCCCCACTGGAGACCAGCAGGTTTTCAAACCAAAGGCTTTGACAAAGGTCTGATCAAGGAGCATTTCGGATGGCAAAACATTTTTCAGGACAGATGTTGATCTGAGCCCCAGCAGGCACAGAAATCATCAGCTTCAAGTTAGACCTCTGTGGCCACAAAACTCTGCATAGGAAGCCATTTGGCTCCAACCACCTCCTACATGCCAGAGGAAAACAAGAGCATGCCTGTGCTTCTAACCTCTTTATGGCCCACACGATGCTCTGCTAACACTTCAGCACCCAGCTTGCCCTGAGAACTACAGAAGGAGCATCAAACTGTCAGACATCAGGCATTGCACCGAGGGGAGGTTTGTCTCATCAAGGTTTAATTACAACATAACAAAAAAAAAAAAAAGGAAAAAAGAGGTGTTCCTGCTGGGAGCATCGTGTCAAGCAGAGTCACGCATGCTTTTACCACCTCTTGCCATGGTTTGTAAACAGAAACTATTGAAGTGTCTCAGAGCAAGGAGCTGCACCACTTGCAGTCATGATGTAGTGGGCTTTAAGTCAGGTCAGAGAATACAACCCAGCCATGTTTTAATACTGAGGGCTAATATGTAATCATAATTGATATATCAGGTAGTATAAACCACAGAAAACTGCATACAGTCCAATCTGGAAACATAATTGATTCCTTCACTCACTTCATATCTATTTTTCAAAAAAGTAATATATCAATGTTACTAGAGGTTATAATTTTAATTGACACATTTAAACACCTGATTAAATTCTGAGCATTGCAGACAAGTATTGCAATTCCTCCATTTCTGTGATAACGTGCCCTTTTAAAAGATAACTTAGAATGTGTTTTAAAAAGTTAAAACTTTAAAAATATTTCACAAGACTAATGTCAGCTTTCAAAGCCTGGAAGTGGTTCTAGGAAGAAAACATTGAAGTGAGGATGTGAGACATCCAGCAGCCATTCTAACTACAGAGCTCCTGTCCATCTCATCCCTGTCTGTCATCCCCCTCCATACTCTTCTACCAGGAATTGTGTCCAGAGGTGCTTTCAAAATCATTTTGTAGCCCCTCCTCGTTAAAGCAATCCTTCCAAAATGAAGTCTTCCACTCAACAGCAGACCACACAGTTTCCATTTAAAACACCACTGTAGGGGGAAAGAGAAAGGGGAACATTTCAGTGTATCCAGACTGTGATTAACTAAGATCCTGCAACACTGATGCTTTGTTTCAAAATGAAGAAGAATAATAATTCTAGTGTGGCATTCTTTAATTTATTATTTCACTTTTCCTTTCCATTAAATATAGTAAACAGTAATGTGCGTAAATGTATCCCTTCCTGGTTCACTTAGCCAGCAGGTATGAACACAGAAACACTTTATATGCAGCAGTAACAGCAATAAAGATTAAATTATTTACACAACATGCAAGATTTGTTTCCAGATGTAAACAGACAACAATAAGAAAAGCAACTATTCCCCCAGTAAAAGCTAAATGCTAGTGTAGAGCCTTAGTCATGGAGGCGATCCAATCTATTTTATCAAACCCAATATTACATAATTGGTTTGTTTTTTTTCATTAAGCCTTTAGAAGCAGACTGCAGGGTTAGCATAGCAACACAGCACTTGTTTCCCTGTTTACTGCTGTCAGGAACATCATGCCTTGATGCAGCTGTACACAGCACCTCTGTGCACACCTGGAAAATATTTGTGCCTGGAATTTAACAACAGCATTAAAATAAAGGTGCATAATCCCCTTTCTCCAGCAAAAATCCCACTTGCACTTGCAATCCTACTTGCACTGTAGAACTGTCCTTAGGTGAATAACTGTATGGAATGTTTTCATATAGTTCAGCCTTGCTGGCATGTCTGAGGACAAACCCACCTGTCAGAGCTCCTGCAACCTGTTTTCTACCATCTTAGCTTCTCTGAGGCAGTGCTTTGTCATGCAAATGACACAACATTTTGGGCCTGAATTTCATCCATAGCAATCTGCAGTAAGAAAACTAACATGGATGGTAACTGCAGCTATACTAATTTTAACAACACTTTTGCTAAGAATCCATCACACTATTGTGGTAGTGAAAATTAAAAAAATCAAGCCCTTTATCCTCATCAAATCTTCTTATTAGCATAGTAAATATCTAAATCTACATTTTATGGCTTGGGCTGATCTGCATACATAATTACAGTTAATTATAATCTAATGATAAGTATTGCATATGCACGGCTCCAAGAACTGATCAAAAGATCACGTTCATGCACACTAATAGTGTGAAGCAGCTGACAAAGAATCTTAGAATTCTTGGGGTTGGAAAAGACTTTAAGATTAGCAGCATTAGATGCCTTTAATGATTCAAGACTAGTACTACTACTGTAAGTGCAGCAAAAACGTGAATCCCCTGAACTTAGCCAGTGAGTAACTGGATGAACTGCTAGTTTGTTACTGAAATAAAAGAGCTGTAAGAAAATGACTGTTCTTCCATCCCTAGGAATGATTTCTCCAAAATGCAATCGTGGGCCATCTTGCTAAAATCTGTGGAATCACTACTTATTAATCTAATAGGAAGTTTGGAGAGGATGTTATCTAGGCACCAAATTTCAATTTCTCAAAAGAGAAAGATAAATGTCCTTGCTTATAAACACAATAATCAGCTGTGTATATATGCACAGAGAGAATGAAACTACATGTGTAGGCTTTAAATCATCTCAGAACAGAAGCACCATGCACAACTTCCAGAAAATTCCATTTAGACCCACTAGTACCAAGAGCAGGAATTTGACCTGTGAATTACAGTGCACTGAACACAAGAACACAACATTCCTCAGTCAAACCTTTTTCTAGTGTCTGTGCAGAAAAGAAGTCCAAAGGTTTTGCCACCAAACAGGGGATCCTTTGAACTTCTTGCCATGGAATGTGTTTACAAATATCTCCTCCCCAGGTCCTTCAGGTGCTAAGCCCATGATGGCAAGGGTAGGGTTACAAGTGACAGAGTAAATGCACGTGACAAAGCACCTGCAAGATCTTGGCACCTACAATAGGACATGTCACCTCCAGGTTGCATCTAGCTTAGAATAATGGGCACAGGTGGGAAAGGGGGACATGCAGGAAGGAAGGTGTGATACATTTTTTAGCGTGACATTTCAGAAACCAACAATCATTAACATGTGAACCAGGCTTAAGTTGTCACCTCTACTCGGCAGAAAGCATTTATAATGCATCTGGTAACCTACAAAGACCCTGTCCCAGAACGGGAGACCTCTGGAGAAAATACCAAAAATAAGAAGCCACATCAATGCAATTTCTGCCTCTCCCTATGAGGAGTTGCAGAGAAACTGAGAGAGGGGACATGGTAGCACTTCTGTTGGGAGACTACTGGCCTAAAAAGGTATGTCAAACACTGGGACTACCCAGGTGACAGTGAAAAGGAAGTGGGGGGGTGAGGAATGGGAATCAAGATTTTTGGAGATTTAAAATCATAAAGGTCACCTTCTCACAAACCTGTGTGGGCTCAAGTCACAGAGGAGACTCTGCTGGAAGAAACACACAAAATAATTGCCACTTCTTCCACTGGACTTACAGAGACAAACAAGTGACATTTCAAATGCTGGGTGCATGCATTCAGCAGCCAGCTCTATCACTACCATTCTACAATCTTGTAAATGTCAGAGGCTCCAATTTCCAACACTTCCATATAATAAAAGTTCCTCAATTGCTATCTAGCAACTGCTTCCCTACTTGGTCACATTTAATTTACATTGCTTGGACTATTCTAATTACTGGCACGATAACAAAAGCCGAATAAAAAAACTTTACCTCTGTTCGTTGCCTCTTAAATTAACAGTCTCAGATTACAAATATTTGAGAAAAGTTCTGAGGACATATTAATATTTAACTTTTCATTGCACTGGTCTAAAGTGCAAAGACAAAATTCCCTAATACAGCATCGCTTAAAGCTTATATACATCATTCACTCCACCTATTGGAATACAAGTTATCTCACTGAGGAGGAAAAAGTATGCTTTGGCAGCAGTATGGTAAGACTCTGGTTGAAGATGGGATCCTGTTCTTGTTTTAAAGAAAAAAAAGTCAAATATATTCCTCATTTTGGTCTCTTTGCTCTTCATTTTGGTCTGATTTCTGTATGAGAGGCTGAAAATAGACAGTATTCTGCTTGCTTCTTTCAGCTGAAGTACATTGCTCTCCAGCTAATCCACTGCTCTCCTGCTGTCCAATTGCCCCTAATTTCAGGACAGAGTTAATGCTTTCCATGGAGCATCCTGATAGGAAAGAGCAGGTACATAACCTGGTAGCATTCTCCTTGAGATGTAAACAACCGGCTTAAGGCTGACCATTCACCTAAATCCCCTGCCCAAGCTAGACAGAAAAACCAGTGCCACTGGGCTGAGGCAACATAGCAG